ACATTAATTCGGCTCACCCCACAATCAAATTCACTGCTAACAAATCCACAAGCAGTGTAGAATTTTTGGACATCACCGTGTGTCCATGGAAAATGGTGCACTTAAAACTGATCTCTTCCGTAAACCCACGGATAAGCTTATGTACCTGCTCCCTAGCAGCTGTCACCCCACGCACTGTACAACAAACATTCCGTACAGCCAAGCATTGCGCATGAGACGCATTTGTTCTTCGGATTTAGATTTTCAGAATCGAACAGAAGAACTATCCGGACATCTCCGGAATAGAAATTATCATCGAGGACCCATTTAAAATGCTATAAAAAGAGCAAATGACATACCTCGTGCTCAAACACTAACGTACAAACCACGTCAACGATCGTCCAGAGTGCCACTGGTCACTACCTATCACCCTAGGTTATCACCACTAAGGCCTATAATTCAGAAACATATGCCCATTCTACAGACCACAGAACGTCTTAGATCTGTTTTCCCGGATACACCGTTCATTGCCTATCGCAGACCACCTAAACTTCGTGATATATTAGTACGATCTAAATTCAAGAGGCAAACTAACTCTTGCGACAACCGTAATTTGGGTAGTTATCTTTGTGGTTTATCATGCAAAACATGCTCCTTGCTTGATTCTACACAATCATTCAAGAGCAACCAAACAAACCACATATTTCGGATAAGGCAATCAATTAATTGCCTCACCTAAAATGTCATTTATCTCATATATTGTAGTCTCTTATACACATCTAGATGTGTATAAGAGACAGGAATATGCAAGGCTTCATAGATCAGCTATCAGAACATCTAAGCTTGATCAACCAGTAGCCGAACATTTCAATTTAGCTGGTCATTCAATTTCAAATTTCAGAGTGAATGCAATTGACCATAATGCCAGTTGGAGCGACAAAAATCGCAAAGATAAAGAGAATCACTGGGAACTTTTACTTAAAACCACCACACCATTTGGACTCAATATTAGGAACGTTCTCCCAGTACACTAAATTAAACCAATGGCATTTCAAATTCTTCTGGATAAATCATTTGGCTTATTTATTGAGGATTGCCTCTAAAGTTTAGTTTTGGCCTTCCTGTTTACTTGTTTAGGCTGTTTATTCTAATCCCACCCAGACTAGCCTATTGTTTCTAATCATGCTTGCATGAAATTCTCAC